AAAAAATAGGATCATACAGCTGTCCAGTACTCCCTGTGGCTGGTTTTCAATGGTTCTCTAACTGATATCAATCAGTCATCAACTCATAACAACAAATAAATTTCAACAAAGCAATAAGTAGACGTAATTTGTCTGAATCGTGGAATGTATTTGCGCAACACATTTCAAACAATCTGATCACACACGGACTTGTCATAGAAATAAATATGTATGAAATTAATAAAGAGTTAAGAGGTGAGAAAATAGACACTCAGGTCAAGCTGAAAAGACATATTGCAGGTCAAAATAACAATGCAGATCACTAAATCAAACAAGTGAGGTAATAGTACACCTACCCTGACTGGTATCGAAACAAAGTTTACCAAGGAAGGAAGGTTTAGTGTGATGACGAATTGTTTCTGAACGCATGGAGGTGGTTTAAACTTCCTAATTGCTAAGGCTCCCAAAATACGTTTTATGCATAGTCTTCAAAGAGGTGTAAAAATCAATTTTATGTCCCGTTTTTGTAATATGTTTCGCAACAGAGAAGCTACGTTGCCTGTTCTCATCACACTTGTTTATAGACTTTTCTAAATTATCATTTCTCAGTGGTGCCTCCCTCAAGAACTTCTCCCTGCAGTTTAATCTACTACTTGATCATATCCTTTCTGCTGTGTCTTTCATTGCTTATACATTATATAGTTTATTGAAGTTGATATGCATTTGTTGTTCTCACAGTGTGTTCATGTGTTTCTACGTGTTTAACTTTAAAAGAAAATTATATAAATAACAATGTTTGTAGAGTATTCAGCTACTGAGGAGTCTCATTACCGAAATTTATGAATTTAATTAAATACTGCTTTATTTTCACAATTGTTACCTGTTTCAAAGGAAAAAATATTTTCATTAACTATATTTATTTAGACTATTGTCAGTAGTTATTATTCATTCCTATTTCATTTTTATTGTTGTTAGTGTTAGGAATATGTTATGACGTCAAAAAACTCTGACGACAATCGCCTACCTGCCTACCTACCTACCTACCTACCTACCGAGATGTGAATAAAATTAAATATAAAAATAGAAACGGATAATCAAATATGCCTTCAATGGATCTAATTTGTTGTTTATTGTTTACAATCATGTATTTGTATCAAAGATAAAATGTTATAACTTCTGTGAATTATTGCGTAAACATGTCTAAGAAAAATTTGATCAAATCACTGATTAAGTTCTTAGGGTAGAGACGCGTTGAAAACTGGAAAGCTGTTTTTGTCTCATTGGACACTAGTCAGTAACTAGTGTAATGTGTGTGTGTGTGTGTGTGCGTCTAGTCCCATCTTTGGTGCAGACTGAATTCTATCAGTCAAGTCTGAAATGTTACCACCATGCCACTTGGTGCCTCGCCATCACGGTGCACTTTAAATTGTTTGTGTTAGATGGTTGGAGGCAATCAGCAGGAAGTTCTTGGTATTAGATGGTTGGAGGCAATCGGCAGGAAGCCACATTGCAAACATGACTGATAGAATTCAGTCTGCACCGAAGATAGGACTAGACGCATTACACTAGTTACTGACTAGTGTGCAATCAAAAATAGCAGGAAGTTCTGCCTGACATAGATTTCGTGCTAGTAGGTAGACGTATCTATAACCTCGAAAGAACTTATGTCACTTCTGAGATTCGAACTCGCAGCGCTACAGTCAGAGACGTCGTCACTGAACTATCTGGGCTCACGATTGACCTCCTGTCAGACTGACTGTACTGGATATTTTTGATTGGACACGAGTCAGTAACTAGTGTAATGTATAATATGTCTAGTCCTATCTTTGGTGCAGACTGAATTCTGTCAGCCAAGTTTGCAGTGTAAAGCTGTATACAGTTGACTTGTCTCAGGTGTGCATCAAAAGCTGCTGTATCTCTTCATCTTGATGGTCGATGGAGTAGTCAGTCTTCCAAGCATGAGTAAAATATCTGTCCTGTGTTCCAGTGTTTTTTTAAAGATTCTATAAATGAACCGATTTACAATTTCATGAAAGAGAGTAACAAATAATTTAGTGTAGTGTAATACTGGTGGCCTCATCATTCATTGTCTGTTTATCAATCTTCCTGCTCCTGTGGAGCAAAGTATGTCCGCGGACATGTACGCAGTGTTTGTTTCTAAACTGAATGTATACCATCTTGGTTATATAATAAGGAAAAATTACCCTCCCACAGCTCTATCTTATGGCGTATAATCGATTTTGGCCATCAGATGGGTGTACAGACTAGTTTTACTGTCATCTATAGGGTATGTAGAAATCTGGTGAAAGGGTTACAGAGAAGCCATGGCAATTAATATTTGAAAATCCCTGTATACTGCATTCAACAGTATTTTATTCTATCATTTGATCCACAATGGACCTAGTTATAAAATTATTTTGTATTTTATTTCTTGGAATCATTTCTTTAACTGCGTAGACGTTTTTCTTCCTTCGGTTTGAATTTCGATTTTCTGTCTGATTGTTTGGATCAGCATGTTAGGTCTTAGTACAGAGGCTTCAACGATGTCTGAGGATTAACGTGAAGTAATTTTGGCGGTTGGAGATTAGCAGCAGTGGAAACAAGGATGCACCTTTTTGTCCGATTTGGCATTCGCTAGTTGGATGTGTACCTGCATTCCCTAGTGAGTGGAAGTGTTTCCACTGAGACTGCAACCCGGTATCCATCGTTTCGAATGCCAAAATCCAAGTGGTTTAGTGGATATCGCTTTGACGTTTGAAATGATAGGTACTAGGTTCAAGGGAATGCAGACATACATCCGGCTAGTGAGTCCCAACTAGGACGAAATGTGCATCCCTGTTTCCACTACTTCTAATCCCCATCCACAAAAACTGCATTCCCGTTATATGAAATAATTAATCTAGTTTTTCATTCAGCTTTTAATTTCCTCAATTTTTTTTTAAAAAGTTGGACAACACTCACTCAACTAGGCAACGAGTCTTTGTCGATTACCTTCAACCACTTAACTAACACTCAACTCTACGAACACCATGTGAATTAATCCAACTTATTTATTAGTTAATCTTGCTTTTGTTTTTTTAAATAGTTTCTAATCTCATTGTTACATTTTAATTGCGTCAGTATTTTTCAACTATCCTGAGGATTAATCAAAACTAATCTTTTAAGATATACATTTATAAAGACTTTTCCCTTTGTTCTTGAAATAAAAGATACTTAGAGAACAGTAATGCTGTGTTAAATGATAACGATGAAGATGATGATGGTTTTTAAGCTGCATAAACTAATGACATCAATCCGTGATAAAACTTGAAAATAATCAGATCCCTACTAACAGATTTCGCACTCACAACGTTGGGAGTATCTACACTATCATGCAATTCACAGATTATCATTTCCGGTATTAGTCTACGGGGTTTGATTTGATTGACTACAGAATTTCATCATGAGCTGATATCAGTTAGACAACCACTAGAAAACCTTGGAGTTCTGGACGCCTGTTTTGTCCTAGTGCTTGAGAGTCTTCGGTAGTACGCACCCATTGCCAGGGTTTGAACCCAAGACCTTCCAGCTACAAGGTTAGCCACTGGGACCCAGTCCAGTGACCAGTTCATGAGTCCCAACTTTTATTAATTCACGATATAATTCGATCACAGATGATCATGTAAACATCCCATAGGAAATTACAATTACGTACTTTTCGGATAGTATGTTGCATTCAACTGATGTAGTTAAGATCTCTTCACATTGCAGAAAATTTCTCTAACTGGTTACATTTCGTTGCATTGTTATCCATGGTTCAATGGTACAATACTTACCAGCAACGCACCGTGTGGTCCGGAGTTCCCCTCCCTGCCGACGCAGTCCTAAACCTCGCTTACTCGGTAGTGAAACTGGTAGAGAGGGAAGGCTGATCGTGAGGGTGGCAAGCTCACCCTGTGAAGAAACGCAACTGCTACTGAAACTTCATTAGAGCTCAAGCATGAAGCCTCATGTCCTGCCTGAAATGCAAAATAAAGGAAAATCAGTTGCATTTTCATAATTGGCATCTTCGTGATATTCAGTAGTGTCGAGATATTTTCATTGGACACTAGTAACTAGTGTGATGTGTTTAATCCTTTGTTTAGTGAAGACTGAATCCTATCAGTGAGGTTTGCAATATGGCCACCATTCTAGGTAGGTCGCCATCATGGTGCACTTTGAAATGTTGACGTTCGATGGTTGGAGGCAGTCGACAGGAAGTACTGATTGACATAGGTTTCGTGCTAGCTGGCACTCATTAGCAAGGCGTATCTGAAACCTTGAAGGAACTCATATCCCTTCTGAGATTCGAACCAACGTCACCCAGTGCTGCAGTCAGAGGCGTTGCCAGTGGGCTATTCATGCTCGCTAACTAGTACAAAACCTAGTTACAAGGCTTCTCGCTGATTGCCTGCTCCAACCATCTAACTGTCAGGATATGTTTTAGAGACAAAAACTGCTAGTTATACTTTGGTGTAATATTAAAATAAATTGTGTCCTTTTTATTTATTCAATTTTAGGTGATTATAAACAAACCAATCCCTTATTAAAACAAAAATAATAATGAAAATAACAATAAATTAGAAACAACTGCAAGTGGAAACATTACCTTGTCCAGTTCGAAAAAGTCATCAAAGAGGATAACTGCTAATGACGGCGGAAGTGGTTCCAACAATTTCCTAACATCACTATACACTAGATGTATTAGATATTCAAGTCGAAGAGGTAGAAAACAGCCAACTAATAATAATAGCAATAATAATAATACTAGTAGCAGCAGCAATCACTATCCACATCCTCAACCTCAACCTCATCAGCATCATAACCACCAGTCAAATTTTTGTTTAAATTTCTGTGGATATCGTTCAACGGATAATTCTCATCCTCAAGGTGTACGCGCAACTCTACACAGAGATTCAACTAATTATAGTTATCCTCTTCAAAAAGACAAATGTCAGGAGAATTCAATCAATCAGCCTAATTCAACTAGTCAGTCTGAAACGATGAAAACTTCTTCTTGCCTCTCATCTTCTCTTTCGACAACATCGGCGACGACGATGACAGCAACAACAACAACAACTGCTGGTGTAACTGCACCAGTGTCAACTACTCACTCAGGTCAAATAAATAGTATTATTCATTCCCATATTACTAATAACTGTAGTAGTAGTAATATTGATCCGCATATTACTACTCCTGTACATATAGATAAATCTCAGAGAATTGATAAATTACATTCTGATACATTGAAGCATAATGCCAGTAACACGAATGATGCTGAGGATAAAAGCAGCACTGGTACACCAGGACTGTCAACTACAACGATTTCCTATGACACTACTTGTAAATCTTCCATAGGTGGTTTTAATAATAAGGATCAAGAAAAGCGGTTAGAGATGTCTAATGTTATGGTATGCGATCCAACAAAACTTTGTGCAAAATGCAGGGAAAATGTCTACTTACTTAGTGAAGATTTTAAACAGTTGCTTTTATCGACAAAGAATCAGATAGATAGTCAAGTGAACAGTGGTATCAGTGGAAGCAATAGTAAGACAAATGAATATATTGGAAAGGTTAATAATACTAGCGAAAGTGGTGATACTGGTGATACATCAAACAAAGTTAAAGAAATTGAATTAACTATTGAAAAATATGAACAACAGTAAGTTGATTTTGTTATGTAAAACAACTTTACAAATAACAGATTATTTCCTAATAAATTTTAATTTCTTTTTTTACGAGTTGATCACGGATTGATATCAGTTAGAGAACTATTGAAAACCAGACACAGGGAGTACTGGACAGCTGTTTCATCCTAGTTTGGGAATCATCGGCAGTACGCACCCACTGCCAGGATTCTAACACAGGACCTTATGGTTACAAGGCAAGTTCGTACAGCTATCCAGTACTCCCTGTGGCTGGTTTTCAATGGTTCTCTAACTGATATTAATTCATGATCAACTCGAAAAAACAAAACTAATCTTTACAAACCAACTATAGAAATGTATGGAAAACACATTTATATAAGCTAGGAAAAGTAGGGATGTTGTTGGCTATGAGGTTACTCATTGTCTCCATCGCTTAAGGAAGTTTCCGCACTCCTGAAACATCAAACTGCAGAGGGAAATAAATGCGTGTACTAAAAAGATGGTTAAACAACAAAGGAGTCTCCAGTACTTAAACTCATCTAACTTAGCTATTGTTTATGCACTTTGTTATTATTATTATTGCTTTAGGGCTTCCACAGAGCATCTCTAGTTCTTCGTCTTCTCTGTAGTCATTCTTAGCTGGATCGACGATTGTCCGTAAGCTCTTGTCTAATCCTCACTCTCGGAATTGTGCCCTATTCGTCATTTCTCACTTGTGTTTCACTTGTTATGATGTTCCGATCGAGGCTCGAACCTAGTGCCAAGTGAGCTAGTGGATAACGCTTTGGCGTTTGAAACTATGGCCACTGGGTTCCAGCCTCGATGGGAACATCATCACTCACTGGGAAATGCAGGTACATCCAGATGACGACTCCCAAATGGGACGAAATGTGCATCCTTGATTCCACTGCTAGTCACTATCCACCAATTAATTGGTTCTTGTTGTTATTGATTTCGCTGTGGGTTGGTGCGTATCTTCATCACCTTTATCTTCTCAATGTTCATTTCACTTCCTGCCAAACTGTTTGTTTTTGTCTGTAGATATTTTGATTTGTAATACACTAAACATAAATCATCCGCGAAATGCAGATATTCTAGATTCTTCTTCTCGACCCAAAGTATTCCCATTTTTTTCTTATTCCCCAGTAGTCTATATTGTTATCTACGTAATCGTAGATGTAATACTAGTGGATATTACATCATGAAAACACAATCGAAATTGTAAAATGTCATTTCTTTTACTTAGTCACTAAAAGTATTCTCTTATTATTTGAGACAGCCATTGACACTGATAATGATAAGATTCATTCGTAAGCAGACCTCTTTTTGGAGAGAAATTAGGGGGTTAGAAATTTTTCTCATTCCTTCACGTTCCCAGTAGAACATAGGGCTTCAAGCTAGAGACTTGAAGTTTCTGTAGCAGTGGTGTTTATTTTTACAGGATGGGGTTGCTAGCCTCATGCCCAACCTTCCCTCTTTACTAGTTTTATTTCTGGCTTAGCAAGGTTAAGGAGTGCGTCAGTGGCCGGGGATCGAACCCCGGACCATGTGTATGGTCGGTGAGCGTTCAAACCGCTGTGCCACCGATGCAAATTAGATCCAGTTAATTTATTACTTTATAGAATTTGCCAAGTTAATAAGAAAATCTTAAGGCATAATCTGTAAGAGTTTGAAAATCAAAGATTTTGTTGGACTCATAACTTGTATGTCACAAAATAAAAATTACTTCTAATCATGTATATGCTTGTGTATATGTGTTCAATGTTCTTTGGCGGTTGCTTACACCATATATATATATATATATACATATATATATATATATATATACAAGAAACTGTGATATTCAAAGCTTTTATATATTGAATAGTAATTATAGGTTTGAACACGGAAAGAATCACTGAAAACCAGAGAGTACTGGACAGCTGTTTCATTGTAGTTTGGGGCTCTTCAGCACTATGAACCTGCCGGGATTTGAACCCTGAACCTTGCAGTTACAAGTCAAGCATGTATATGTCATTCTGCCACTGGGACCCGATTCTAAGTCCTGTGAATTCCAACTTTTACCAGTCGGTGCTTTAATCACGCTCACCCACCAATGTGGACGACGAGTATTTGGGTGACTCTAAACTATAGCAGCCCAAACCGAAACTAACTAGCGAACGGATAAATGACCTTGAGCAACCATTCAGGTGACTCCGTATTATACAGGCGTACTTATGGATGCTGTACGCCTTCTGCGTTGCAAATTCGCTCCAGATCTTGTTTTTGATTACTGTTTGGAGGACAAACTGATAGGAAAGTCGAAAAAGTGTGAATGTTGAGGTGTCATGTATTTACAAAGATATGCTAGGTGTATTGATGAATTTGTTTGCAGGTGAGATGAGTGCTGAGAGAGAAAGTCAGTTCGAGAAGGTGTGCTGTTCTTTTTTAGTTTGCTGATTCCGTAGGTACGTTTTTGCCACGGCTAAGTTACCTTTAACGAAAATTTTAATGATGTGTCATAACTGGTGGCTTAAAAGACCAGTAACAGCAACAGCGTATGAATCAGAAAATTCAGAAGTGTCTGCAGTGCAATGGTACCAGTACTGCAGAGACATAGCTTCTTGGAAAATGAACAGACTGACTCCAGTACTTGGCGGCGTTGGTGTCATTGTTCATGTGGATGAGATAGTGCTTATAAAAAGAGAATATAATCGAGGTAGATTGAGTGCGAATCAGGTGTTGGGATACATTGAGGCGATCCCTAATTGCAGTGCGAATGTCTTATTGCCTATTATCCAACGCTTAGTGCTGCCTGTAACAACTGTTCATACAAATGAATGGAGTAGTTATAGTCAGCTATCAACCCTGAGCCACATTCATCACGTCGTCAACCATACAAATGATTTCATCAATCCTTTCGATGGAACTCACACTAATTCCATGTAAATTTTTTGGAGTCACCTCAAAAAACGGATCAGATCTGTGAATGGATCAAGAAATGCAATGATATACAGTTATCTCGATGAGTTTATGTACTGGGCTTGGTTTAACATAACTATGAAGACTCCTATAAGAAATTGGGAGGTTGTTTTGGAACATATATAAGAACGTTATTCCTTTTAACTATTTTTTAACATTGCATTACTTTTATGTAAATGTTTTATTCAAATTATGCGCTTTTTCTATAGAGGCGTCTGATTGGTCAAAGTTGTCGTTGTCAAGGTCATTTATCCGTTCGCTAGGTAGTTTCGGTTTGGGCTGCCATAGTTTGGAGTTACCAGTATTTGTCCTCGTACTAGACCTTGTGGACATTACTGTTCACGACTTCTCACTAGAACTCTTAGGTTTGAACCCTGGCAGTGAGTGCATGCTGATGAAAAGTCCCAAAATGAGACGAAATAGGTGTCCAGTAATCCCAGGTTTCCCAGTGGTTCTCTTAATGATATTAAACCGTGGTGAAAATTGGAATAAATCAAATCCCTACAGAATCACTCTTGTGAAAAATAGTATTGGATTGCACTTTTACGAGAGAATGTCCACCATTTTGATATATAGCATTTAAGAATGACTAATAATAATAATACTAAGGTGAATATGTGAGATTATTCAATCTATTTCATTATTCAAGAAGTTAGCACGTGAATAGGCATTAAATAACTATTTTTGGCCTAATTGTTGGAGATACTACATCAATCTTGGAAGTGTGTCATAATAATAATAACAATATACCAATCAATATGTATATATATATTATGGTTTATAATTCTACTTCTTTATTAGGTTAATCAATTTTGTGCCTGCAAAATATTCCCATGATAAATTGATATTTAACTACACAGGCATAGATAACTATGGAGGAAATAGCAGCTTAGTTACTTGAACGAAACAAGAAGAACACACAGTGAAGAGAACAGGATAAAGAAAAAAAGACGCCACCCATCATGTTACGTTGCTTCTGTTTAACTGTGTATAATGATGAACACTTTCACAGTAATATGCAATAATGTAGTAAGGTTACTACTTATCATGTGATTATGTAACATATAAAATAGAAAGGGATGGATGAAAGCGATTGATAAGCCTGTTAGTATGCATAGAAATGATTACAGACTATTCTAGAATTACGAAAGAATTTTACAGATTGAATAGAACAAAATAGTTAGAGCGAACAATTGTGATTTCAATAAATTCTTCCTTCTTCAGGCTCTACAATTATAAATCCATTAATTTGTGCCATACAATAGCCAGTATCGTGGAACAAGTATAAGTAAGATGGGATTGAACAATAGTCAATTAGTTTTTTAATATGCATGGTCAATGAGAACATGAGATAAAATGAGATGAAATAATTTAATGATGCGTGTTTATATATATAAATATAGTCAACAGAAAAATACAGGTTTCGAGAGTGAGTGTATGTGAGACAATATGAAAATAAACCAACGAATGGGGCGGACTAGACATAAGTTCAAGGTTGAAAATAACGACAGTAATAATAATTGTAAAATAATAACGATGATATGGTGTAAAATTACAAGCACTATTGGTGAATGATTGTCAAATAATGATAATGAAGTGGAATGAACGGGATTTTGTAAATACGATAGCAAGTTAGAAAAGCACTACTTAAACCTAAGGTAATAAAATCATAAGAAAGGTCATGAAATCATAAAAGTCGAAAATGAACGTTTGTCAATGAAACAGAGGAATAGAAGAAGAAGGAAAGAAAAGAAAATTGTGATAGGAATTTATAGTGCTAATGGAGGATTTGTTGGCTTTATTGTAGGCCAAGGTAAACACAGACGCTGAACATACTTCTTCTGTATGGTCTTCTGGTATTGATTGCAACCATTTCAGCTACGGATAGAAGACGTAGTTGAGCTCCTCTAGATAGATTAATAGGAACGCAGTAAATAATTGAGAACGCCTGGTCAAGTTTTATCGGGTGTCCAGTATCTACTAAGTGGGCTTAGACTGCACTATTTACGCATTTGGTTACCCCTTTACTCAACCATACACGTACGCGTTCACG